CCAGATAGCACCATGCCGTAGTTAGGGTGTGTAGCACCGGCTTGGCTAGAAGGACTAGAGCACGCTATGGATATGGTAAACGAATGGTGAAAGACAACATGCCAAATGAATCTCTCTCCCTAATGATCAATTATATCACCATGTGCTGGACACCAATAATGCCAGAGACTGAGTGATAACAGAGGGAACTTGAAGCTAGGGATGGGTTTTGGGCACCATACTTTGAGTTGGAATTTGAAAGCAGCGATGAGGAAAATCAGGCTATGGAGCCAGCTCTTGATAACCTCGTCTGATCACTGTCCTCCATCCGAATACTATAACAATGTCAAACTATGTGGAACTTAATGTGAGGCTGCGACAACAGATTGTTGAACTGTTGTTGAACCGCGATGTTATCCAACTTGAAGACTACTTCGCTCTCCTCTGCGTAAACTACTGTCCTGATTGCGACAATGCTTGGATTGATGTACAGCCTGAATCCGGTATTCGTAACTACTGTAACCTGCATTTCTTTGAGTCTCAATGTTTTCTTAGAATTTCTTCTTGTCCCTGGTGTGACACTTATGCTGAAGAGCTGATAGCAGAAACTGAAGCCTGTAGTTTTTCAAACTCCGCCTTTGATGATTATTAGGTTTTGTTTGCTTAAACAGTTGTTTTGTTTTGGGGAATATAACTGGTATTGTAACCGGTACAGGTACTCGGTTATTGGTTTTGTTTTATGTTTTGTTTTAAGTATCACTTTGATACTTGGTTTGTTTTAAGTATCGTTTTGATACTTGGTTTTGTTTTATGTTTTGTTTTAAGTATCACTTTGATACTTGGTTTGTTTTAAGTATCGTTTTGATACTTGGTCTTGTTTTATGTTTTGTTTTAAGTATCACTTTGATACTTGGTTTGTTTTAAGTATCGTTTTAATACTTGGTTTTGTTTTATGTTTGTTTTTAAGTATCGCTTTGATACTTAAGGAGTTTTTCCAAAGAGTATCAATTGATACCTTTGATTAGTTTCGTTCATGCTAGACATGAACAGATTTGTGTATTTAAAGACTGCCTGTTTCTACGATAGAAAAGGCAGACTTCGACAGACAGTATTTCAATATACTTGGTTGAACGGTTACTTCTTTGTTCCCCATTACACCCTCGAAGCCTCTTTTAGTTCTCAGCTCTCGCCTCCTCTCTGGAAGAGCAGGCCACCTGTCAACTATCGTATCTTATACCGATAACGTGATTAGCATCTTGCGAATACGTTACATTTTTTTAACCTCAGCAAGTGGTTAAGAACCTGTCCCTGGATTTAGGCCTGATCAACCTATCGATATCCACCTCAGAACGCTAGTGGAGAGAAGCGGCAGAATCATAGTACAATCGGCTTCATCTCAAACCCAAGATAGAGTCTTTGACGACCAGGAGTGGGAAGCAAATCCCACGGCAAGACCTTACAAGAAAGAAACAACTCCGGCGCTCTGCTAAAGAGCCGGGCGATCCTGAAAATACGGAAGATACACAACCCCCAGGAGAATTCCCGTCTACTCCAGCAAAGAAGCCTTCCTTTGAACCTCCAAACGACCCCCAATCTAGTAGCGAATCGGATATGGCTAGCACAGGAGGAGGGTCTTCTGGAGGAGGGAAATCTCGGGCAAGGCCTGAAGAAGAGGAGGTACCCGCAGCATTTGTACCCCCTAATTTTAAACTCCACCTCCCAGCGAAGTTCACAGGAGAAGGAAAAGACCTCAAACCTGAAGCCTTTGAATGATGGGCAACAGAACTCTCACACTTCCTACTCTTACAAGGAAAAGATGTGGAAGACCCTACAACTGGACTTATCATTGGATCATTTTGCGAAGGAAAGGCAACCGACGCATACCACCAATGCTATAAGGATTTCGGCGGGAATGCAAGATTAAGAGGATCTACAGTTCTAGATTACCTGAAAGGACGATTCCAATCCTCTATAACCAACAACCTCTTATACAACAAATTCAACCAGCTCCAGCAAGTTAACAGAATGCATGTCAAGCGAATCACCGATGTGGCTACGGACCTAATAATGTATAAGGACTGGATGGAGAGTGGAAGTATCTCCAAATACATCTCGAAGCGACGATTCTACGACACCATGCACCCTACCCTCCGGCGAGAAGTAGAACCACTCGAGGAAGATGGCGATGATATTGTAGTAATAATTGCAAGAGCAGAACGAAAGGACGCCATTCTCCAAGAGACCAAGGCCTACAAAACACAGACATCCTCTAGTAGGAACAGCCAGCCACGACGTAAAGCCTCCAGCAACTCTGAAGATGATACCCCATGGGTTTTCAAGAAGAAAACAAAATCCTCCAAAGAATCGAGACGGCAAAAAGGAGAATGTTTTGAATGTGGAAAAACAGGGCATATGGCAAAGAACTGTCCTACAAAGAAAGGAAAAGGAAAGGCAATTAAGCAAGAGGCGTCGGCCAACAATGTTGAAAGCGATAACGCCCAATCCAGTGAATATGAAGAGATCCATATCGGATATATCGATGTGGAATACAATAGTGTTCGACCTCCGGCTACATTCAAAGCATACACCGCTCTGGAAGGTACTATCCTGATCAATGGCAAAAGGGCCCGAGTCCTATTCGACACTGGTGCAATCGGAAGAGATATGATCAGTAATGCCTTTGTCTCTGTCCATGGACTTCCAACTTGAGACCTTAACCAACCGATACCAGTCAATATGGCAGTAAAGGGATCACGATTTACAAGCCATAAAACCTGTAGTGCGACCATTCGACTTGGTTCTGCAGTCCTACCCTCCCAGGAAATGCTGGTTAGAAATCTAGCCAAATACGATGCCCTAATAGGTATGCCATTCCTGAACCGCCACAAAGCTATAATCAGGTGTGGGGAATCAACCATCGATTTCCCAGATCAGAAGGTCAGAGTCTCATACAAACCAACAAGCGGAGAGTACCGAGCCGCAGTCTGTGAAGTAACTGCACTACGACTATTGGATGAGTACTCTGATGTTTTCCCTGATCAAATACCCGAAGAACTACCGCCTATCAGAGAGGTGAACCACCACATCCGCATCCGTGACCCCTCCAACCTCAAGAACCAACCCACCTACTCTATTCCTGATGCATACAAAAGCCCACTTTGTGATTGGATCAACCAACAACAAAGAAGAGGAGTCATCTACCGAGCTGAAGCCCCAGGTGCTGCTCCTATGTTTGTGCAACCCAAAGCAGATGGCAAAAGAATCCGCCCCTTGGTTGACCTTAAACTACGGAATGAGAACACGGTTATGGACAGCTCTGCTATCCCAAACCAAACCCAGATCCTAAATGCTGTTGGACGGGCAAGATTTCGAAGTAAGATTGACCTAAGCGATGCCTACTTCCAAACAAGGTTAGACCCAGAAAGCGAACGCTACAACAGTTTCAAAACGCCCTTCGGAAGTTTCGTTAGCCAAGTTATGTTACAAGGTGATATGAATGCGCCCGCCACCTTTATGCGAATTTTGGAAAACCTCCTAAGTGAATTGCTCCACCATTTTGTTTGGGTCTACATTGATGACATTCTCATGTTCTCGAACACCGAAATAGAACATGCCTACCATATAGGATTGGTTTGTACCAAACTTAGGGAAGCTAAATTCTATGCTAGCAGAAATAAATCAATTCTGTTTGCCGATAAACTCGATATCCTAGGACATGTTATAGATGACGAAGGAATACACGCAGCCCCTGGAAAAATAGCATGTTTAACGGAATGGTCAACACCCCGGAATCAAAAGGAACTCATGCGATTCCTAGGACTAGTCAATTATATTTCCCAGTTCCTCCCACACCACGCCACTGTGACAGCACCGCTCACAGACCTTACCGGCAATGCAGAATTTGTCTGGACCCACACCCATGACCAAGCATTTACCAACATCAAGGAATTGATTAAAAACGCCAACGTTATTCAACCTATCGACTATAGTAAACCAGAACCGATATGGCTGATTACTGATGCATCGGATGTTGGAGTTGGAGCATGGGTTGGGCAAGGGGCCTCCCATGAATTGGCAAGACCGGTGGCATTACACAGCAGGAAGTTCACTAACTCACAGATTAACTATGGAACAACAGACAAGGAAGCCCTTGCTGTGATTGATGCTCTTGCCGCTTTCAACCACATCCTGATGGGCAATGCCTTCACTATTGTCACCGACCACCAACCTCTCACTAATCTTAAAACAGAAAGAATACCTGGAAGAAGAAGAACAAGATGGATAGGCGAGATCAGCAAATACGATGCAAAAATCATCTATACCCCTGGAAGAACGAACTATTTAGCTGATACTCTCTCCCGCCTATATGAAAATCAAGACATCGCAGACCCCCCTCTCGTTCACGACCACACAAGACAAAGCGAGAACAGCCCTGACGACACCTCCTATGAACAAGAACCATCAATGGCTACCGCCAGCTCTGCCGCTCCCTCCAATCCTTTCTCTTACACCATGTACAGTGCTGCCGGAACAGAACGAGGAAAAGACATTGATGAAGAATGGAAAGACAATTGCACGCTCTGCAGTACACCTCCTCACGAACTTGAACAAAGCAGACTCCACTGGTCCCACTGTTACCACGACACCTGCCCTTTTCACCAGACTGAGATTAAGTTCGGCAACAGATACCAGCGACCGTACTATATGCCTGCTGATAATTCCAAAGACACCAGCTTCGACACCGCAGAAGGAGAAGAAGAGATGATCGATGGAAATGAGTCAACCCAATATCCTCATGTCCTTAACCCTGCTCTAACACGATACCAAGGTCTTGAAGAACTCGAACAAGCAGCAGCCTACGTGAATGCAATATCCTATTTACACTCCCCACAGTCAGCCCCGCCATCCTCTCCTCCCATAATCGATTCATGACCACTTTATGGTGGACCCTTACGAGTATACAACAATGAGACCATTGTCTGGGTCATACCTCCTACTATTCCCGAGCATCGGCGCCAACTCTACGAAACCTTTGAGGAAGTGGAAGCCCCTATCGAACCAACAAGAGGATCCCTAATCGAGGATGAACGAGATGTTAGATCAACCAGAGAAGAATTAACCTCCTCTTTCCGAAGCCACATGATAGCAGAATACCGCCATGACCCAATTTACTTCAAAGCCATGGATAGCTCCAGGCATGGAGATCTTGCTCCCTACAACATATCCAACGGAATGGTCTTTACCAGCACCCGTTACGGTGAACATTGCCTATACATACCAAAAGGCCATATGTTCAACGGAATGACGATTAGAGAATATGTCATATCCGAGATTCACAACAAAGGACACCACAGCGCGGACCGCAACCTTCAATATGCTTCAGTATATGTTTACTGGCCTGAGATGCGCAAGGACTTCCGCGATTTCGTCAAACAATGTGAACTCTGCCAGGCAAACAAGGAGTGAACACAACTACCTGAAGGAAAGGCACAGACCCTCCAACTGCCATGTGAAATATTCGAATCATATGCCATCGGTTTCGCAGGACTATTCAACAAGTCCGCCAAATATGACACCATCTTGGTAGCTGTGGATCGATTCTCTGGATACACCTGGTTAATACCAATGAAGGTTACCGACTCCTCCAAAGATACCTGGAATAACCTCCAACGATACTTGTTTACCCCCCACGGGTACCCCTTATCTATTGTCAGTGATGCTGATCCCCGTTTTACCGCCAGATTCTGGAAGCAAACCTTGACCTCCCTTGGAATAAACCACATTATGGCTGCTCCTGGACACCATGAGACTAATGGCCAGGCAGAACGAAAAATCCGGGAGGTTAAGACCGGAATTAGGAACATGATGAATGAATGACAAACCAACTGGGAACCAGCCCTTGTTGAGCTCGCTGCATATATCAATGCTGGATTTTCAGATACATTGGGAATGTCACCATACAAGGCAGTCTTTGGCCGCCAATACCACCTCCTACCTACAACACTATTCAAGAACTCCTCAGTCCCAGCCTCTGATGACCATCTAAACCGCCACCAAGCAATTCGGAACGATGCCTTCCAAGCTGTTAAAGCTGCCCGATTCCGAAGCACCACCACTGCCCAGAAACGGTGACGCAAACATGCCCCCATCCCACCAGGAGATATGCTCATGGTACAAGGTAACACGTTCATTACCAATGTCGGACGCAGCAAGAAACTACAACCCCGATGGCGAGGACCCTTCAAAGTCATATCCTTTGACGAGCATACAGAGAACTACACTGTCCAGATGGATGGACGCATGTACCACTGCAATACTGCAGTCTTTCACGCCTCAGCTGTCAAGCGATTCCACCCAAATGACGACTCCAACTTCCCTGGAAGATCCCACTCTCGACCCGCACCTATCATCATTGGGAAGAAAGATGAATGGGAAGTTGAAGAAATCCGAGACTACCGCCTTTGGCATGGAAATGATCAGTTCCTAGTCAAATGGAAAGGATACCCGACGAGTGAGAACAGCTGGGAACCACTTGAAGGACTAGAGCACGTTATGAATATAGTGAACGAATGGTGGAAAGACAATATGCCAAACGAATCCCTTCCCCCAACGATCAACTACATCACCATGTGCTGGACACCCACGATGCCAGAAACTGAGCAATGGCATGCAGAACTCGAAGCTAGAGATGGATTTTGGGCGCCGTACTTTGAATCGGAATTCGACAGCAGCGATGAGGAAAATCAAGCTATGGAGCAGGCCCTCGACAATTTTATCTAGTCACCAATCAGCATCCGAATACCATAACGATGTCAAACTATGTGGAACTCAATGTGAGGCAGCGACAACAGGTTGTTGGACTGTTGTTGAACCGCGATGCTATCCAACTTGAAGACTATTTTGAAATCCTCTGGATAGATTACTATCCTGATTGCGATCATACTTGGGTTGATGTACAGCACGAATCTGGTATTTGTGACTACTGTGATTTACATTTCTTTGAGTCTAAGTGTTTCCTTAGGGTTTCTTCTTGCCCCTGGTGTAATACTTATGATGAAGAATTTCTTGCAGAAACTGAGGCCATGAGTTTCTCGGAATCCGCTTTTGATGATTATTAGGTTTTGTTTGTTTAAACAGTTGTTTTGTTTTGGGGAATGTAACCGGTACGGGTACTCGGTTATTGGTTTTGTTTTATGTTTTGTTTTAAGTATCACTTTGATACTTGGTTTGTTTTAAGTATCGTTTTGATACTTGGTTTTGTTTGATATTTTGTTTTAAGTATCGCTTTGATACTTGGTTTGTTTTAAGTATCGTTTTGATACTTGGTCTTGTTTTATGTTTTGTTTTAAGTATCACTTTGATACTTGGTTTGTTTTAAGTATCGTTTTGATACTTGGTTTTGTTTTATGTTTTGTTTTAAGTATCGCTTTGATACTTAAGGAGTTTTTCCAAAGAGTATCAATTGATACCTTTGATTAGTTTCGTTCATGCTAGACATGAACAGATTTGTGTATTTAAAGACCGCCTGTTTCTACGATAGAAAAGGCAGACTTCGACAGACAGTATTTCAATATACTTGGTTGAACGGTTACTTCTTTGTTCCCCAGTACACCCTCGAAGCCTCCTTTAGTTCTCAGCTCTCGCCTCCTCTCTGGAAGAGCAGGCCACCTGTCAACTATCGTATCTTATACCGATAACGTGATTAGCATCTTGCGAACACGTTACAGGTATGGGTACTCAGTTATTGGTTTTGTTTTATGTTTTGTTTAACTATCGTTTTGATACTTAATTAGTTTTACCAAAGTGTATCAATTAATAACTTTGATTAGTTTCGTTCATGCTAGACATGAACAGATTTGTGTATTTAAAGACCGCCTGATTCCATGATGGAAAAGTCAGACTTCGACAGATAGTATTTCAATATACTTGGTTGAACAGTTACTTCTTTATTCCTCAGTACACCTCCGAAGCCTCCTTTAGCTCTCAGCCCTCGCCTTCTCTCGGGAATAGCAGGCCACCTGTCAACTATCGTATCTATTAACAATAATGTGATTAGCACTTTGCGAACACATTACAAAGAGTATGATCTAGATGATCTGAAGCCTTTTATTAAAGAAAATAAAAGAAATAGAAGACAATCTTAGGAAAATATTAAAGAAGTAAAAGGATTAAAGACCTTATCTAGGACAATCAGGAAGGCAGCTAAGAGTATTAATT